ACCATCAACAGCAGCATCATCAACCACAACAGCAGCAGCAGCAGCATCACCGACTGGCGTCCTCGATCGGCGGCCACTCGACGAGTCATTCGTCTGGTGGCAGCCAGTCATCGAATGAAGGCTCATTGGATTTTTTCCGCTACGGGCCAGTCGGTAGTGGCAGCGGAGGGAGTACGGACCGAGTGTCACCTACTGATTCTCTTGGATCAGCAGGACGTGGAACCGGTAACAAGGGACCCTTGGCTGGTAGCGCTGTCGCTCAGGTTGGGGGCGTTGGCGGTTTGAGTGCGGGGGCCAACAATATGGGACGTGAGTGCGTGGTTTGCTTCGAGTCTGAGGTGGTGGCCGCTCTTGTACCTTGCGGACACAACCTCTTCTGTCTTGAGTGTGCCAACCGTGTCGTCGCGTCAGCCAAGCCTGATTGCCCCGTGTGCCACCAGCATTGCTCACAGGCCGTACGAATCTACAATTAGGATATGAGCAAATAAACAGCAGGAAAGTAAACACAAGCGGGCACAGACACCGGCGTGTGGTGCCCGCCTGTTGCCACTGCCACCCCTATTCCCCCAAGATAACAAAATAGCAGCAGAAACATACGGAAACTTCCCTGTCAGAGCATGCAGCACCTGCAACAATATTGGCATAGAAATTAGCACGAGCACGTGGACAGCTGCTTATCCTTTATTATAACAGCTAAGTCAGATCTCCGCGCTCCGCCGCGCTCGGTGGTCACTCTCTGCTGAAGGAACTTCTCTTCCCGCGGTGAACCAGCGATGCTGATGCCGATGATCATGATGATGATGATGATGGTGATGGTGATGATGATGATGATGATGAGTGTAACGAGGGGCTAGCAAAAAGCAACTGTTGACAAATGTATACCAGCTATACCTACAGCCGTCAAAAAGCAAAAAAATATTTGAAACGCCTTCGATGGAGATCCACCGATCTAATAACATCATGAGTAATAGTAGCATTTGATTATATTTGACTACTGAGCAAAACTGACGCGACGATATACGAATAACGGTGATACAGAGAGAAAGATAACTCCGATTTATGGATTTGACAACCTTATTATTATTATTCTTATTATTATATTACTGTACAACGGTAATAACACTATGACAATAACAACAATATGATTATATTATAAATATGACTGTCGCCGTTAAATGTCAGAAAAAGAAGTAAGATACTTAGCAGGCGACTGATCGACTCGTTAGCGTGATATATATATATATAACAATAAGGTGTCACAATATTGATTAAAACATACGCATCCATACAAGAATATAGATACACACAGTCACACATATACCCATCTATATATATATATATATATATAAGTGAAAGAGGCAGGTGCTGGAGTAATAATAATTATAATAATTCACAATAATATTTTTTCAAAACATTCTCATTAAAAATATTGATGGGCACACAGAGAGTACACAGAAGCACGCACACACGCACATTAACCACACATGATATATTCATATATATATATATATATATATACGATGATGCGCATTACGGTGAAAATTAAGAGGAAGATGCGTAATAAACCGTAACAACAGCGACATCAAAAACAGAAAGTGTGATGTATACGCCAGAGTGAATACAAACTAAACATCATCTGCAAAAACATACGGCTTATTGAATCGAAGGAAATGTGTAACAATCGTGTGCAAACATCTAACTCGCGGTGCGTGTGTATGTGTACATGAGTGCGTATGAAAGAGGACTATAGAGAAGAGCACTACAGGATTAAATTAGCAGTAAAAAGCACGAAGTTTAAAAACGAAGTAGGCACAGAAGACAACGTCTACGGTGTTTATGCTGATGATGATGATGATGATGAATAATTTACGTAATTGGGATGCGTGTTCAGTGTTTAAAGGTGACCCAACGGCCGATACGTATCGTGAAGATAGAGCAGCAAATGGCAATGATAACGTTGTGTACTGTTTCGGTCAAGGGGACTCATGTGGACATAACAGTAACAACAACAACAGCAGCAGCAGCAGCAGCAGCAGCAGCAGTGTGCCCAGCGTTGTTTGCAAAAAGAATGACACCATCACAACAAAGAAAAAAACACGTAGAGAGCTGATGGGCTTTACAAACGACAGCAGACCAAAAGGGGAATTTCATTTACTTAGAGACACAGTCAAGACTACGCGTACGTCACAACTAGCTTGCCCCAGACGATCCCGATGAGTATGGCGTCTCGTGAGGCTATTTGAAGTAATCATGGTAACTTCAACAATAGGGAAAACAACCAAATACAAAGAGCATCAATTACATAATGACTACTGGTATCGTGTTCGCCGCTACCGTCACCGACACCGACAACTAAAAAATGACAACAACTGTAAGCAACAAAACAACCTGAACACCCATAACCTACTGATCATATATTGTCATTGTCAATTTTGTAGTATTCCTATTTTAGTTATTCTATTTTAATAATATATTCTATATAAGAGATATTATTAATGATATAAGGAGAGAATACAAAATAGCAACAGTAACAAGAGGCTGATATATCTATATATTAATTCTATGCGAAGAAAGAAAAAAGAGAGACAAAAATGCAAAAGGTGAAATATAGAAATGAATCTCTTCGACACAACAAACAAAGATACATATATATACGTATATATATATATATATATAAATATATATATATATATATACGTACATATATATATATATATGAAAATACAACAATAGGAAATCAAAGATAACTATATATTAGAAAGAAATAATAGATTACTATGAATTATATTGTGAGTGCATGAAAAAGAAAGCCGGTCACAACTTGCCACCTCCTGTGTTACTGTGTGGCTAAACGTATGTTGTGCGATAACAGGAAAATCAATCCGGAAAAACACATTTTAACGTCGTGGATCACTACTTATGTAATTGGAAACGATCGGATATGACAGAAATAGTGACACACAAAACACGCATCGCATACATCGATAAATACAGGCTCTGGCATCAGAACAAAGACTTTGAGGGTCTTTACTGATTGGTTGAGAAGAACTGAAAGGAAAACCACTATTATAGATACTGATGTTTGTATATTAGTGATCGTCAAAAGAGGAGATGAACGACGGGGCGATACGAAGAAGAAATGGGACGACGAAGAAGGATCGATGAGAAAGTGATAGAAGCACAGAGAGGAAAGATAAGGGAAAGTTGACACTTTGTCGTGAAGAAAGATGAAGTGGCCAACATTTTAACACATTGACGGAACAAGTCTGACATGCTAGTTTTGATGATCAGTCTCTAATCTCAGCAGCTCTAGATATCTTCCACTACCATCTTTGCCTTTATACCGGATCTCTCCCTAAAGATAATGGCATGCCACAAGTGTTAGTTAAGCTGATAAAAAATAGACAAAGCAATTCTGCCGTCGCTCGTGTAACAAGCATGGCTGCTATTTACGAATCTCGTCGTGACGCGTGACATCAATTGGAAAATGTATGCTAATGCTACAGCTCAGGTCGTTCAAGCCACTTGAAGAGGTATAACGGATGTCAACGAGGACGACCATGGGCTGTGACGCCATCCGTGATGCTCTCCATTTTTATTGATTATCTAATACAGCCCTATCATATTGTTGAATATAATAGAGAATTCGCCGAAACGTAACTCGTCAAACTAAAATGAAGATGACTATTATTATTAGTACTATACACATATATATATATATATATATTGAGGTCATACTATATCTTACGTACTAATAATAACGCGACAGATATAGAGTCAGATAAATTGGCGCGTTCTCTAGCAATGACAACTGTCACAGAGGATTTTTATAACTGCACATTATTTAGTAATATTATTTTATTACTGTTTTTATTTCAAGGTATTATTACGTCCCTCCATTCGTGCTATAGCTAGATATGTAACGAGGCTCATTGTAGGACTTGTCCACAAGTTATGAGTGTCTTGCCTGTTACAATGTAGCTTTGCTCCAAAAAAACAACCACCCAATACTATCGAAGTGGTATTTCCAGTACTGCCCAATACGCCTCCATTATACGCCTAGGAAGACACACTTTTTCTTTTTCTACGCAATAGAAACCAATTACTCGGTTTACTTTAAATTGTATAATGTACTGTAACAATAATCGTATCTTAATCATAGTTATCTCATAACTGTTCATATTTCTCTCTCTTCCCCCCTCCCCTCCCCCCCCCGCGCTCTTTCTCTTTCTCTCTCTCGATCTCTCTCTAAGCCGAGAGAAAAAAAGTATATATAAGCACCTTCATAGTCATATACTTCCGTTAATTAATGCATTCTCAAGTCTAGCTTTTGCCGCATTGTCGCTTGCCCCTCTAAATATTTTCTTTGGCTATCGTTTATGACAAACAGATATATAAAGCTTGACGTCTTCCCAACATTGTTATTATTATTAGTATGATACTACCTAGTTGTCCAAGTCTTGTCGTCCTGCCTTACCATACCCGCCGTGCAATCATAGCCCATTCCGTTTTCACCTAACAGCCTCATTGAGATGAACGATCCTCATATAAAAATTTGATGATACGTTCAAGGATGACAGTTCTACCTTTACACTTTGCCCCTACCATTTATGTTCCCGTATTAATCGATTGCTATATCTCATTTGGCGTTTCGCGGGAATCGAACGTAGAGGCTACAGTGTCTAGCTAGCTCTTGCAGAGATGGCCTGCATTATCCAGCAATACATGTGACCACTTCGGAACAGGCGGATAGCTTCTCAGAAAAACCGCTTCGAAAACGACACCGTCCTGGGTACCTGCAAACATGTATAGACCGCTTCTCACTCTCATTACTATAATTATTACCATTTCTGTTACTAACAATAACTATGATTAAATTTCATAACAGCTGAACACTCTTTTGCGTGTCATTAATGTCATGCATAGTTTATTGTAGACCTGTTTTGTTCGCCTACCGGGTCAATCCCGGTTGACGAAACTTACATTTGCCAGTAGATTTTTCATGGAAGCTGTCAAATGTACCGTTGGATTAGTTATTGTTGGGCCTCCGGTTATCTTTTGATCGCCATGGCGTTTTATAGATGCAATTGAACTGAATTTAATTCGATTAAGCTCAGTCGGAAGCTGACCGGGATCTGCTGATTTTGAGGTTGCCATGAAGAAGCGGAAAGATGACAGAAACGTGGACCTAAACATTGCTCAGTTCTGCTTACCACTCTTAGAGTCTAAAGATCAACATGGCGATGATGATGATCATGACGGCATGCTGTCTCACGTTAACTTTGATCTCTATGACTTGGTGGTTTGCAAGGTATGCAACGATGACTTAAGACAGATACGACTACTACATATTACTATAATTATTATGAGCATAAAGCTTCAATATGAAGAAAAACACCAATAATAACAAAAATATATATAATAAATATCCATATACGAGATAAACATGATGGTGATGGGACATCAAAATGGAAAAAACATGTCAGATGACCGGATCTACCTACTTCTGTTTGACTGTGCCTGCGAGTCCAGTACGCTCGACACGTGATCTATAAGACGGGCGGCTGCATTGGTGATATCGATGTAAGGAACTGAAAAGGAACCCTGAGCCATGTTAAGCCATGTATGCGATGCTATGCCATGGAACTCTGCGTCGCAACGCAATGTCTGTTGTGATGTGATGCACGGCGTGATGGCTAATCACTACCCACTAGCCCGGAGGCGCGGGGGAGGGGAGGGGGGAGGGGGGAGGGGAGGGGGGAAGAGATACATTGCCTGAGAAAGACATAATTATAGGCGGCGAAATAATTTTTAACAAAAAACACATAATTCATATTTAGAGTTATAAAGGCAGCAATCGCAACGGCTGATCTCCTTGCTGTCACCGCAGTAAAATAAGCCATCGTCCTTACAAGCCAAGAAAATAAAAACTGGGAGAAAACACGGGAAAGACAGACGAGGAAAAAGAAAAGGCATTTCTTTAGAAGTGTCCTCCATATCTAAGAATTGTTACAGAGTGGACAATTATCTATGCACTCATTTTATTGTATAGTTATTCATAGACGAAAAGGAAAGCGCTCTAAGTTGCAACAGTTCTATGAAATGGTTGCGAATTTACATGAACATTAACTGTGCGGGAACGGCGATAAAAAAAGGTGTGATGATGACTATAATGCTACCGAGGAATGATAGTTTATTATAGAGACGGGCTATGTCTGCATGTTCACGAAAAAACTATATAACACAGATACAGTAATGAATAATGATTGGTGTTGAAGCGTACTACGAGTGTCGTACTACGACATCTTAAAAGGTGCGACGGATTGGGGCGCCAGCGATAGGCAGCAATAGAAAACACATAGCACTTAGAAACACCATGAGCAACCTGTGTCTGACCTAAAAATACATATATATATATATATATATATACATACACAAAACACCGTAATAAGCTTCATTCAATACATGATGATGTCTAGAGTTGGAACGATGTTCATACTACTAATGACAGTAATAATGATGACGCCGATCATAGATATTCACTCTGATGTGAGTGGTGGACATGAGAGATGAATTCGCGTATTTATCTAGACTATCGGTGGCAAGTTTAGGCGCCTCTCTCTATTCTATCTCACTTCCACCCCGATTATCGTCCGTTTAACTACCCACTGACATCCACCCGACCAGCCATTACTATATATAGATATATAAACAATACAAATCTATAATGATACAGTAAGACAAGAGGTGGGGAGGTGAGGGGCAAACGGGTAAGGCGGCAAGGTGAAGGAGTTCGCGAACGAACGAACGAACGAACGAACGAAGAGCTGAAAACTGGCTGGTGGACAAAACGCAGCCGGCCTAAACAAGTACTTCGTGCAAATGGAAGAGTTCTTATTGTAACAACAACAATAATATTACCGATAACTATGAATAATTAATACTTTTCTATACTACTTTCTTACATTACTATGACAACAATTGCTGCTAATATCAATTTGCCATTATCACATTATTATTATACTGTATGTATGATAGCTCTATATAGAACGCTATGTTCATTTG